AGCCACAATTCATTATTTAGCAATTATTAACTTGTGATATGCAGCTTAGCTAAACAATATTACTTAAATTTCACCTTTACCTCTAATACTATTCCAGAGTTAAGCTAACTATCACATTATAATCAAACGAGGAAGTTGTTCTCGTTGTTCAGTTTCAACTACTCTTTAATTAAGGTATTTCTTTGCATATGTATCTTAATTTCGCCCTTCACGGACAGATGACCGGATGAGAAAGAAGACGGGTTGGAGAAAGTGGCGAGATCTGGCGCAACATTTTGCCACCTGTCCCTTATGGCATTGCTGTCATCGAACTCTATACTGTCTGGGTCGTCACATCCGTCATAATGGGTCCAGCAGACTTCCGGCAACTGAGGAACACAGCCAGACGTTTGTGGTCAGAACTTGCTTGTTGCCTTCTGACAGTCTGGGTTAACTGCCCTGAAGATCGACTAGACGACGTCGAAGACACCCCTCAGCAACGGAGCAGCTATCCGTTCTGAACGGACAAAGCACAGATGCGATACCGCGAGAGACATTACTCCACCGAAACGATACCTGAGGAGGGAGGGCACAGTAAAAAATTGGGAACTCCCTCATTCAGCGTGAAAAATTAGATGGTAGTCGTTGAGATCGCAAGGGATCATTTCGAGGACAATGAAGCGCGTAAGAGTAGGTGGTAGGTGGCGTTAAATCTAGACCTTGCATATTTGGCACTGATATCCACCAAAGATATCCACTGTGTGTCCCCCTCTTGTTTGTGTTGTACATGCACAGAATGCTCAGTCGCAACCCAAGTTACGAGTGTATCGGTATAGGGGGTGTGGAGGCGATAAAACTGCTGCTTGCTGAAGACCCTATTGCGTGGACGTCTTCAGAAAGTAATCTGCAGCGCTGTACGTAAAGGTTCGCAGCTAAATGCCACGTAGACAGCGTCCATGAAAATGTCTAAAACGATTAACGCAGTGCTTTCTCGTTCTGCTGCCCCTTGCAGTCTTCAGGTGAAAGGTGCCCCGGTGTAGCGGACAGAGAATATGAGGTACCGCGAGGGGGCGGGGGCGTGTGATGTAAACCAGAGGAAGGGATCGTCTGGCTAACTATAATAACTAGCAGCTTTCTGCATGATCTCACCTGATCTGTTGCGACTAAAGAGGAAGAGTCTCAAAGAGGAGGAAGGCCAAAGAGTAGGAGTCTAAAAGCTAATATCTCTTGGTGTTCAAGTCGATGTTAATTCCCATGCTTACTTACATACGGCCATCAGTCGTGCGCAATGACTGAGGATCTTCGATCCCGGGTACAAGCTCCTGAAATGCTCTTTCTGTGGCGAATCGCTGGGCTTCCGCGTCTCGACATAGTCCAAAGTACAGATGACTGAGATGGCCGTGGTGCACAGCCGTTTTGTGGTTTCTTAGGATTGAGAGGCCAAGGCTGAGATTGTTGGTACAAGTGTTGCG